GAAATTTTAAAGAAACCTAAAAAGCTCCTATTTTGTAGCTGTCAGGGAAGGTAACTTTATCTTTTTTTCCCCATTGGTGTCTTTGGAATAACTATTAAATGATTTCTTTTGCCCTTAGTCAGTGTTCCCTTTAATAGCTGTTGTGCTTATAAGCTGTTGTTAGTCAACAATAAAACCTTACTGTTTAAACCCAAATTTCAGAATTGTAAATCTGGTCTTGATTATCCAGTTAAAGAAAATACTTGGTTTTAATGTTTTTGCCCATGTGCTTCCCTTTAACATTCATGGCAGACAATGAATTTTTCTTCGTTGATCCTGACCTAAAGCTAAGTAAAGTAGCTCCAGAAGGATGGAAAGAAGAACTGAAGAAAAAGAACAAGCCCTCTGTCAACTTCACTCTGTTTTTTCGCATTAAGTTTTTTGTGGATGATGTCAGTCTGATACAGTGAGTGTATGCAAAAATTTTTAACCCCTTAAGCCCTAAATTTATGGAAAGAAATTGGATATTAATCAAATACTAGAAAATTACCTAATATCAGGAAGAGTACCAAAGGTGGTGTGGGGTTTTTTGTGGTTTTTATTTTCCTGTTCTAGGCACACGCTGACCTGTCACCAGTATTATCTGCAGTTGCGAAAGGACATCCTGGAAGACAGAATGCACTGTGATGATGAGACAGCCTTATTATTAGCATCCCTAGCTCTCCAAGCTGAGTATGGAGATTACCAGGCAGAGGTACACCATCATTTCCACCTCTGAGAATCTATGTTCTTAGTGGTTAATGAAAGAATGGACTGTGAGTTGCCACACATGTGTCCCAGCTCTGCCCTGAGCTGGAAGCTCAACTGATATGCTGTTGATAGTTTTTGCTGTGGGCAAGTTTTCTTTTAGTCTAGCACAGGGCTGTTGCAGAATGTAGTTCAAGATCTGGGTGTTGAACCATCTCTTCAGTGGAAATAGTCAGGCTTGAATAGGAAGAAACTGTATGTGAAATTAAGTTCTGGGTCAGGGTTGAGATTCTGATTTCCTCCCTTTACTCAGCTGTAATGCATAATTTTCTGTAAAATCAATGTTTATGCTTAGTTCGTGCTCAAGGAGTATATGGAGATGGCATCACAAAAATGTTTCATTTTGTAGGTGCATGGCATGTCATATTTTAGACTAGAACACTATGTCCCAGCTAGAGTGATGGAGAAACTGGATCTGTCCTACATCAAGGAAGAGCTGCCAAAATTGCATAGCACTTATGTGGGTGCATCTGAAAAAGAGACAGAGTTAGAATTTTTGAAGGTAAGTGGGCAAGCAGTGTGCTACCTTCATCTGTGACTTGAAAAATTCCTTGTGGGAATATGGGTGCATGGACTTCAAGCAGAAACACAGGAGAACAGCTGAATAGCACTGAAAGGAAGAAAATTTAAAAGATCTTCTCAAAAGACACATCATTACAAGTGAGAAGAAGTTGTAATAGATGGGAAGGAAGTCCTTTTTTCCAATCAGTAGTCTTTCTGGTTTAGCTCAAACTAGTTAAAAGCAACTATTGATCTTTGTGTTTATTCTAAAGGAAGCTATGATTATGAAGCAGCACATCTTGCATTCTCTATGTCTTTTGTTCTTTCTGTTGAGGAAAAAAATAAATATTTAAAGTATGAAAAGTTTTGTTACAGCTAATACTGTTTATGGTGCCTGGTATGAAGCAAGCCAGAAGTATTACCAAGCAGAATTCTCTATGCAGTTACTAAGAAGGATGATAGGAACACTATAATCACAGATATATTTGGTTTATTCTAAAAGGACCCATTAAGAAATGTAATTATGGGTTTTGGTGCTGTTGCTCATGAGATAATGATCAAGTTCTGCCTTGATACAATGGCTGCAAATGAGTTCAGTGGGTGACAGTTTGCTGCTGAGACACTGAATAACCATTACACTCTTAATTCCACAGTGTCATGGTTTAACCCCAACCATCAACTAAGCACCAGGCAGCCACTCACTCACTCCCCCTGGTGGGATGGGGGAAAGAATTGGAAGGGTAAAAAGTGAGGAAAACTTGTGGGTTGTAAATAAAATAAGTAAAGCAAAAGCTGTATGTGCAACCAAAGCAAAACAAAACAAGGAATTCACTACTTCCCATGGGAAGGCAGGTGTTCAACTATCTCCGGGAAAGCAGGGCTCCATCACACATAACAGTTGATTGGGGAGACAAACACCATCACTCCAAACATCCCCCACATCCTTCTTCTCCCCTCAGCTTTATAAGCTGATCATGACATCGTATGATCTGGGATAACCCTGTGGTCAGTTGGGGTCAGCTGTCCCTGCTGTGTTCCCTCCCAGCTTCTGTGCACCCCCAGCCTCCTCGCAGGTGAGGTGGGGTGAGAAGCAGAGAAGGCCTTGACTCTGTGTAAGCACTGCTCAGCAATAACTAAAATACCTCCTCGTTACCAACCCTGTTTTCAGCACAAATCCAAAACACAGCCCCACAGCAGCTACTGTGGAGAAAATTGACTCTATCCCAGCCAAAACCAGCACACACAGTCCTACTGCAGTTCCCAGTCTCTTTGAGAAGGTGATGGAAGAGGCACTCAGCTGACTTCGCCCCTTCCAAGGCTGTTGCTTATTTGGCAGAAGTGTTCTTGTAACTTAATCACTGAGAACAAGAGTAGGGGACTTGATCCTGGCTAAACCTAATCTGAGTGGGGGTGGAGGTGGTGAGAGCAGTTAGATTCCCTTGTTTGATTCATTCTCTCAGTCCCTTATGCCAGGACAGAATGACTGGGAGTGCAACGTGAGTGCAACTGTGTCTTTTGGCAGTTACAGTGATCACAGAATTGCAGTGTTAATCTAATCCTGTCTTTAAGAAATGTGTCCATAACAAGTGTATCTGGTGTGGTGGTTTAACCCACAGTAGGACCATCCTCATGCACAAACCCTACACATCTGGCTCGTTATAATTTGTTGCCAACAATTGATTTGTGCAAGTTTTGATTTACTCACAGGTATTCTTGATTCATGCTTTGGTTGTTTGATTTTAATAAATACATGATTCATTTGCTGTAGTGTTTGGCAGGTCAAGAGATACAACCAAAACTTACAGCTCTCTAGAGCAGCTGATGTGTCTCTGTTGTAATATCTGTAAACTGTGTACGTGGAATCACCAGGCAGAGAGGAATCTTTTTTTTCCCCCTAAAATCTATATCTCTCTCTCTATATGCATATATTAAAATATTTATACAGAGGTATTAAAAACTTGTAATAGCCTTAACTTCATATTCTTAGAAGTTTCATTGCATTGCTCTGTACAGTTGTGTCAGAGGCTCACAGAATACGGGGTTCATCTTCATCATGTGTTGCCAGAGAAGAGATCCCAAACAGGCATCCTTCTGGGAGTGTGCTCCAAAGGAGTGGTTATTTTTGAAGTTCACAATGGCACCCGCACACCTGTACTGCGCTTCCCATGGAGAGAGACAAAGAAAATATCCTTTAGTGTAAGTTGGTCTTTTTTCCTCTGTCTGTGTGTACATTGCTATATTTGTATCTCCAGGTACTGGTTTTGTTATTTTTGCAAATTAAGATGCTGTAATCTGAGCTGTGTTTTATTATAGGAAGTCTATATTTGTATCTCCAGGTACTGGTTTTGTGGGTTTTGTTATTTTTGCAAATTAAGCTGCTGTAATCTGAGCTGTGTTTTATTATAGGATTGAAATAGGAGTTTTGATGTTTTAAAAATTGAGGGGTGTTTTTTGTGTGTGGTGGTTTTGTGTGTGTTTGGGTTTGGGGGGGTTTTTTTCTTGTATTCTGTGCTGCTGAGGTTCCAACCTCAGAAGAGTGTTTAACACCTGTGTGTTGGCAAATCTCTATTGATGTGAAATGTGACTTCCCTGCCTTCTAAGGAAAGAACTATCATGAAGATAGATCAAGGGCTGCTCTTAGCATGAGGAGAAGCTCTGCCCATTTACTGCATCTCTGGGCCATCTGCCAGGACGTGGATAGTGAAGGAGCACCAGAGTTGAGAATCCTGCATTAGAGGACTGGGAAACTGGCAAATGCCAATACTCAGTGTAACTAGGAGATGCACCTATGTTACTTTTAAGTTGATATATTTCCAAGAGTAGTTAAATTAGTTGATAGTGGATGACAGGGGCTGCCATTTGATCTGGACAATACCAAGCAACTTTAGTGGGTACACTATAATCTGGTGGTCATGTGTCATTTTTTAATGAAGTGTTGAGCTTCAAATGCTTATCTTTATACAGATACTGAAAAGAGTACTTCTAACTCTGTCTGATATCTCACTGAAAAGCTACAGCCTGTTTCATCTGTGGTATGACTTTAACTAGAATTGGTAAATTGAAATTTAAAAATTACTAAAAAGCTGAATTTAAGACAGGGGACATTAACTGAGAGATTTCATTATTAGATGGGCATCTAGTTCTTTTTCTCTGGAGTGGCAGCACCCTTTGTAACTTCCTGGGAGGCTTTTGAAAACCCCATCTTGCAAATTATAGTAGTACTGGTCGTGATTACTTAGGGCTACCAGTAACAGAGATGGGTTAAATAATCGTAAAGTACCATCTCAGCTCGCCCAGAAGTAGCTTTAAAGTGCTACTTTATAAATCTCAAATTTCTTTCAATTTTAGCAGAAATCTCTCCCATCGATGCATTTTGCTTCAGGAAAGTTTGAATGCTGTAACTGTGCACGAGCAAACACAAAATTCTTTGTAGGCTAAAAGGAGTCATTGTATTCAATTTTTTTCTTTCTCCATTGTGTAGAAGAAGAAGATAACTTTGCAGAACACGTCAGATGGTATCAAGCATGCATTTCATACTGACAGTAGTAAGACTTGCCAGTACCTTTTGCACCTCTGCTCTTCCCAGCATAAATTCCAACTACAGATGAGAACCAGACAGAGCAACCAAGATGCTCAGGATATTGGTAAGGAATGTGGTGCTGTGTTGGGTTTTAATAGCAATCTATTTTTGTAAGGAGAAAAACTGAACTTGAGCTTCAGTAGTTCTGCTGAGTGCTGCATGTGTTTGGCTCTACATTTGGAGGGTTTATACTATAAAGAGAATCTACTAGCTAAGTTTGTTTAGGTTTTTTAATGAAAAAAAAAAAAAGACAATGAGCAGATCACACAGAGCTGGCACACAGCAGCTCCTCTAAAGTAAAAGGAATCTAAAAATAGGTCACTAATAGTATTTTCCCATTTAATTAATGTCTTTTGGCCTTTTTCAGAAAGAACTTGAAGATATTTCAATGACAGGGCTTTTACCTTTTGCTTAAAGTGAAATGAATTGGTTTGATAACGTGGAATTACAGATAAAATGGTGTGATCATGTGAGGTAAATACAATAGGGAGCATTTCATGATAGAATCATTAAGGTTGGAAAAGACCTCTAAGATCAAGTCCAGCCATCAACCCTACACCACCATACCCACTAAACCATGTCCTTAAGCACTATGTCTACACGACTCTTCAGTACCTCCAGGGATGGGGACTCCACCACTGCCCTAGGCAACTGCTCCAATATCTGATGACCCTTTCAGTAAAGAAATTCTTCCCAATATCCAAACTAAATTTCCCTTGATGCAACTTGAGGCCATTTCCTCTTGTCCTTTGCTTGTTACCTGGGAGAAGAGACCGATCCCACCTCTCTACACCCTCTTTTCAGGGAGCTGGAGAGAGCCAAAAGGTCTCCCCTCAGCCTCCTTTTCTCCAGGCTCAACAACCCCAGTTCCCTCAGTTACGAGCTCATCACACTTGTGCTCCAGAACCTTCCCCAGCTCCGTTGCCCTTCTCTGGACACGCTCCAGCACCTCCATGTCCTTCTTGGAGTGAGGGGCCTAAAACTGAACCCAGCACTCGAGGTGCAGCCTCACGCTGATCACTGCCGTAGTCCTGCTGGCCACACTGTTCCTGATAACAAGCCAGGATGTTGTTGGCCTTCTTGGCCACCTGGGAGTGATGCTGACTCTGTAAGCTGTGGGTGTAGCTGTCTTCATTCCACTTAATGTTTGGTGGATCTAGTAAGGAACAACACTGGTGCTAGTCAGTTTTCTTCAGAGTTCTTCTACAGAATATATTTTCATACAGAAAATCTGAATTGGAGAATGCAATCATTGAAAAAAATCCCTCTGTACTATTTTCTTCACTATTTGGAGCAGAGCTCACTTAGCTTGCTGGCCTTCAGCACAGCCTGGCAGTGCTATTTCGGTCAGTCTGCATGTTCATTCATTCTTTGTTCCCTCTTTTTATCTGTCTGCATTCCAGTTGCTGTTAATCCAGACTTCTACCATCATAGCTTGGATGGAGTCTGACCCCATTGCTGTGGAGATTGTGCTCCCTAATTTAAAAAAAAGAAAAGAAAAAGTGGGGGGTGGGGAAAGGCATGTGGCAACTATGCAGCCTTTTTTCTGTTCTGTTGAACTCTACCAACCTAGTGCAGAGAAATAAGACCAAGTGACTTAAAACTTTTGTACCATTCTGTAATTTAGTGCTTGCTTACCCTGAATTGCAAATAAAAATAGTGCATGGAAGGCTTCCTTGGCTAGGCACGAACGTGGTTGCTCTTGCAGATGTAGTATGTATTGTGCTTTGGGAGTCTGGAAGATAACAGTTTGCTTCTGTGCAGTGCAAATTCAGATCCCAAGTCTCAAATTTCAGCAGTCGTTCATAATCAGAAGCAAATAAATTGGTTTTATGGTTAATTCCATTACACTTGGTTATTAAAAGTAAAAACTCAAACAAAAAGTTAGCTTTTGTCATAACTTTACTGGTCTAAGTTGATTAGCCATGTTTCTCTTCCCTGCATCCATATATACATCTAGCAACATAGTTACTAGAATAATATTTTTTTAAAAAGAAGCTATTATAATACATGTAAGAGAAAACAGTGATGATGCAGATTGTCAAAATAGCATATTAATTACAAGTACTGCTTTTCTCTTGTTAAAGCAGTGAAATCCCAGGCAGTATATGGGAAGCATTATTCCTAGTTTGCAGAAGCATCAAGTTTTGTTTTAGTTTTTTCTCAGAGCCCTTAAAAAATCAGTAAAAACTGGTGGTTGGAAGCACTCAGCAAAACAGTAGAGAAAAGGGCAGGTGGCAATATTATTATCTCAAGGCTGATCACCCCAGGAAGTGTATGTTTTAAAACTTCCTTAAGACTCAACAGCCCAGTGAACATAAGCATGTGTCTGTAATAGTGGCAGTGTTTGTGAGGTGGAGTACCAGACTTCAGAAGATTAATGCACTTTGGATGGTTCTTTAGAAATAGAGTATTACAGTGTCTTGCAAGGCATCTTGATTTCAGCCAATGAGTGGAGAAAATATTTTGAGAGAAGGGAGAAGGCCTGGCATGCATAGTGACAACAAATAAATGTTCATGGAACATAGCAACAGAGGATGGAGGTATAAGGGAGAGCACTTTATAGCCCCCGTGATGGACCATGACTTGTTTTTCAGTTGTTGCACAATGTCTTCAGTGACCTGGGAGGAATGATTTCGACACGTGTAAATCTAATAGAAAGAATAAGGGTTGGAAAATGCCTCTCAAATAACATTTTTTTTGTGTGAATAGGAAGAGATGAGACAAGTTAAAAAAAAAAAAAAAATAAATAAAATTAAAAATTACTAGCTATTTTATTATGGTACTCCTCCCCAGAATGGGGACGTGGCAAGAGCAAGTGTCATTGATAACTTCTGTCAGTCAGGAAACTGAGATTTGTGGATCTCGGGTCTGATAGAGCAAAACTCTTCTTATGCAGCTCATCTAGTCTGTCTGGTGGCTATAGCTAGAGGAGGTGTTTAGTCTGGGGGAAGAAGTGGTAGTTGTATACTAATTCACCTTTAAAAAGGACAAAAAAATACCTTCCACAACTAAATCTTCTCAATCTGTATGCCTGTTGTGTAGAGAAAGCCTGAATTACTGTTGCAGTTAATTCCTGCCCTAGGTTTTGGAGGAAGCAATGTCTTTTGCAGTGGCAGTGCTGTGGTTTTGTTTACTAAATACACTCTTTAATGGTGAATACTTCAGCATTTAGTTAAGCTCGTGGATGATGGCTACCAAAAAATAGCATTTTCCTTTTGAGTTACAGTGCAGCTTCCTAAAGCAGCTTATTTCCTAGCTCTATATAGAGTATAAAAAACCCACTAATTAACCCTAAGTCAGGAATATATGCACACTTTTCCTCAGACTTCCCTGTGAACTGACTCCAAGACATGAGTGAAGTTTATGAAGGGTTCAGATGACCTGATTTCCTTTAAAGGCTTTAACCAGCAAACATGTTGCCACAGCTTATCGAGTTTCTGTGTGAGAGCCAAGCCACAGGAGCTTAACTGCTAGCCTTAGGAGGCAGTTAGGCTAATAGAAATGAGCCCTGCTCAGCTTTACTCTGAATTAAGAGGGGGTTAGGCTAAGTTGTATTATCTTGCATTTGCTTTCGGCGAAGAACATCCACCCAGACAGTTCCCACGACTCAGCTGAGGGTAATTTAATTACAATCCAAAACCTGTTTCTCTTTGCTGCTTAAGGGAATCCCAGTCCACGAGTCAAAAAGTCTGGCAAACCCCAGACAGCACTTTCTGTTCTGTACTAAAATGTTTAGGATGTTTCTAGCAGGGGGAGTCCCCAAGTGCACTTGAGTGAACTGATGTTCTTGAACCAGGTAGAGATACTGCCAAGCCCCCATGACTTTGCAGCTGTACTCTAAGTGTGTCAGGGACTCATGCAAAGAGAACTAAGCAGTGGGTGGATGGAAGCTTGGTAGGATTTGATAGTGTAGATGTGAGGAAACCTTGTTCAAATTGTGGAAAAGACTTGTCTAAGCAGGTTTAAAGGAAGTGTCGTCTTCCAGGTCACTTGGCTTGAGGGTATTATTTGCTTTGCAGAAAGAGATGATGTGCCTGTATATAAGACACGGCAGTTTAACAGCAAATATGAGGCTTGATACTAATAAAGGGATAAATATTCTACTCTTCTGTGTTTTTGGATTTCAGTGTAGTAGATGGTCAGGTTAGTGTAATGTCATGAACTCCAAACTTTGCTTCCTGAGCAAACTACATGGTGGTTGTTTATATGTACCTGGTGATCATAGAATCATTGGGTTGGAAAAGACCTTTGAGATCATCAAGGCCAGTCGTACCTGTCCACTACTAAACTAAATCTCTGAGCACCTCATCTACCTGTCTTTTAAATACTTCCAGGGATGGTGACTCAACCACCTCCCTGGGCAGCCCATTCCAGTGCCTGAGAACCCTTTCAGTGAATAAATTTTTCTTGATAGCCAATCTGGCACGACTTGAGGCCATTTCCTCTTGCCCTGTCACTTGTTATATGGGAGAAGAGACAAACACCCACCTTGCAACAACCTCTTTTCAAATAGTTGTAGAGAGTGAGAAGGTCTCCCCTCAGCCTCCTTTTCTTTAGGCTAAACAACCCCACTTCTCTCAGGCAGCTGATGGGTATGATGGTACAGACTTCTGAGCATCTAGGGAAAGTGTGCTTCGTGTGAGTTGGTTGTTTACAATGCATGCTTTACACAAGGAGGTCACACTAGCTCTGCTGTATAACTTAAATTTGTTTGGTTTTTGGTTGTTTTTGGTTTGTTTTGTTTTGTTTTTTTTAATATTCCACAGAAAGGGCTTCATTTAGGAGCCTGAACCTTCACGCGGACTCTGTCAAAGGTTTCAACATGGGACGAGCAATCAGTACTGGTAGCCTGGCCAGCAGCACTTTGAACCGCCTCGCCGTTCGACCTCTGTCTGTTCAAGCAGAGATTCTGAAGAGGCTGTCCTGCTCTGAGCTCTCACTCTTCCAGCCCCTTCCTGGCTCCTCAAAGGACAAGAATGAGAAGACTCCATGGGAGGAAAGACCCAGGGTTATGAGCAAGTCATTTCATGATCTGAGTCAGAGTCACATCTCTGTTTACCCCCCAAGGAAAAATACTATTACTGCTTTGGACTCTTCCCCCCAAAAAATAGAAGACATAATGGGAAGAGTCTTTCAGCAAATGCCCAAATTTGATACTGGATCAGGAGCAGGAGCATTAAAACTGAACAAGTAAGAGTCTCTCTGACCACCCTGCAATATCTTTGTGTACAGTCAATGTACATTTTGCATCAGTTTTGATTTATCATTCATACCATTATTTTATTACATTGATCCTTCCCTCTCCCAACTTCTTCTCCCCTCTGTCTGGTTCCCTTTCTCTCCTTCTCCCCTTTAAGTTCAAAATCTCATGCAGGTTTAAGTAGAAGCCCTGAAAGAAAGAAAAATGAATCAGACTCATCATCCATTGAAGATACCGGTCAAGCCTATGTTGTAGGTCAGCATGCAAAAAATAATATTATTGTATTTACTAACTAACCTCTAAAATTGCTTTGAGTGTAATACTTTGATGTATTTATTAACTGATGGTAATATTTCAATTTGAAAAAGGGAGCAGAGTATCACATGTTAAAGTAATCCAGGCCAATTGCCTGTTGTTTCTGGATAACTGTGGCAATTAATCAAAATAATCCTCCCTTGGACAACAGCAATCTATAGACAAGTGTGCAAAGTATTAGTACTTGATAGTAAAAGCTGTTCCATAAAACATCTTCTGTTTTGTCACTTCAGAGTGCTATTTTATTGTATGCATCTTTTAATACTTTGCTAGTCTTCCCAGTCAGTCAAGCTTGAACTTTTTTTGTGTTTTCTGTGGAAATGGTGCAGGGAAACAATTTTTGGAAGGGGGCTGTTTGGCATAAGTTGGCTATTGACTAGTACCTCTCAGCAGTAACTACACAGCTCTTTTTTGATTGGTCTTATTTGGATATAATAAATTAGATAGAATTTTTTTGCAATACATGGGGTGTTCCACAAAAACACTCTTGTAATGAGCTAAACCAGATGTAGTTACTCCGTTTTCTTGGCAAGGATTGGGTTGCACACCCAGAGTCTTAGTAAGAAGTAGAGATGCAGAGTTCACACTTAATAAAAAAAGATTCAGAGCAGCTAAATAGACTTAAACTTGCACATTGAATTATCATACATTAATTTTTAATATCCTCAGTTTTTGGTTATAGGAGTTTCCCTGTTATAATAATAGAAACCACAATGACTGAAACATATGCAGCCTTAGCTTGCTTTTGTTGCTTTGCTTTTGCTTAATATTAAAATACTCATTAGCTACAGAACATGAGAAAAAAAGGAAAAAGGTGAAGTTTATGGGGATTGGTATAAACAAACCTGCAGAAAAACCAGGACTGACTTCGATGCTTTTTCAGTACTGAGAGCATAAGCTACTACAGAGTGAGATAAGCCATGCAGTTTCTGCAGTGCCTGGTTGCAGCCCTTTATCCTGTGCTTTTAGCTTTACAATTAGTGTTCCCATCTGCTGACTCATGATGTTCTGGACAGCAGATGTGATAAAAATCTTAGCTACATGTCAGAAAGTCCTGCTG